TTTTGATCTGGTTGGCAGGAATAGTTGTCCGAATTAAAATGCTCTTATTTATTTATTGCTGTAGACCTATTCATGCAATAAATGTGTGCTGTTACGCCCTGGGGCTGATGACAACTAGGCGCCCAGATTCATATACACAGACTAATTGCCTCATATGTTGTCAGAGTCACCGTGATCACATGCGACGTGGAATGCAAACAGTCACTTTCTTTGATCTATATGACGTCGATCACAGTATGCACTGATGACGTAGACATGGATATATATTACTGGAATTTAAATTTTTCACGGCGGTGATAATTTGCATTATAATCTTCTAGGATATATGCTATTAATTAATTAATTTTTAAAACAGCGAAATTGTTGCGAACTACTGTTTAACTACAGCATGCAACTACTTACTCTTTAATAGTACATACTCTATATTAATTTCTGTCATTGTAGTGTTAATTAATTTACATCATCAAAATAATTTAATTCATTACGTAGATATTTCAAAATATTGCTGAAATTTTTTTTAGTCTGTTTTAAAAAAAACAATGAAATATATAAACACAAACACAATAGCAATGTACATATTTAAACTTTGTTTCAGAATGCTGACTCTGCATACTAATAGGGCTGCACAGATTTCATTGCTGTCATTAGCACATTAAATGCGCGATAATTCCATCATGTGTTTCCTACCTACAAGCCAATTGTATTCAGGAATATATGAAAGCTGAAATGCACAGTTATTTAATTCTCCATCAGTGGTCAAAGCCAGAAAGGACAATTAGCGCTACGATGCGTGAAGCGTATTAATCTGTCGAATATATGAAACAGGTAAACCAAAATGGTTAATAAATTTCTGTGTGTTTTCCCAAATATAAAATATAGTAAAGACGCCATATGTGACAAACCATGTGTGCATTCTAGGAAGTAAGCCTTACGTTGTGAAAGCTTTTAATTTTATAAATGTTATAATATGATACAAAATTTGTACAGTCTAAATTACAAGCTTTAAATGTTATACAAAGTTAGATTTTTGTTTATAAAATACGTATTGGACATACACAACTTTAGTTCATTGAAAAATATGTTATGTAATATGGAATATCTCTTTAAAGAATACTCAGTGTAGCATTTAACTACATAGATGTTCCACAGATTTACTTGTAAACTACACATAATTTAATTCTCTCAAGCGCAATTCTTTAATGGTTTTATTAATATTCTAATGTTGTTTGCTTGTTGTGTGCCATAATATGGCCGATAAATAGCTTCTTGAGTTAAAATATGTAACTAATACTAAACTGTTGCGTAGAAGTTTATACATTCTTCACTTATTAACACACTGCAGTAGTTGATTTTCTATTCACTGCGGCATCTGAAGTTCCATGTCGAAGATCTGAAACTGTTTTATGGACATCGCCGACAAAGACCACATTGTGTTACCATGGTGATATCACACAGAACTCTTTTTTTATTATGGGGGACAGGTGCTTTCGGGGAACCTCCAACGCTGAACGGTTGTACGCACTCTGAGACTAATGTCTCCACATCGCATCTGCCAGGATCTCACAGTCTGCTGTATTTACCAATTGGGTCAGTGTGAATACACAACCGTATGGTAAATGCAACAGCAGAAATTAAACACCCAGTGCATTAGCTCCTCCCCCCCAACCTGACATCCTTTCAGTAATACGAAACACCGAGTGGGGGGATAGTACAATGACGTGAATCGTCTACCATGACGACGATGAATTCGAGATTATTAATAACAATAATTAATGCTGCCTGCATATAGCAGAGTTTTTTTTTCTTGGAAAGGTGTACTAGGCCTTTGCTTATCTAGTCAGATAATTTATGAAACTCGAACTTTCATTACCGTGTTCCTAATAGCCCACTACGTATTCGTATCCAGAACCACATGAATCCAATTCACACTGGCATATGACACCGCGAGCCTTTCATGGTAAAATAAGGAAAATACAGTAGGAACACTAATCAATGTGCATATCCGGGTGTTTGAGTGTGTTGTTAGTATATCCATTAATTGGTTGAAGAAAAAATCTCAGTAAGAATTATAGTGCCGTACTTCAGTGTAACTATGGCGGGTATATTTTCTCGATCAGAAAGATGTTTTGGATGTAGGTTCTTTGCCTGTCTTCATGCAGAAGGAAGAGGTCTTTGTGCTGGGGGATCAGTCTGGTATCGGCTCAGTTCTGTACCTGAGGCAACACGACATTTGAGAGAAATTCGAATTCCCGTAGGATTCTTATATTATTCAGAATAGGAAGACAGAAATATTTTACTCAGACTCCAGTTCCCAGCAGGACCCTGTTCTGGCGGAAACCCGGACAAATCGAGTTTCTGTCTCCATAGGCAAATTTACTTTACGTGTTTATGGCAGCCAGATTAATGCTGCAAGTTAGTTTATACAGATATGATTTTGTATTGTAACATAATAAGACATCGCTTTATTTTAATTATCATCTTATTTAATTGCGCATTTTAAGCTACATAGGATATACAACGTCGAATGAAAGGACCATAGGGAGAGATAAATAGAGAAGAATTTAGAAGGAACGGGTATAAACATAAGTTAAGGTAATATTTGAACGCTTACCTCGAAGGACTGAGGGAAATCACAAAAACCAGTAGTCAGAATAAACATGATAAAATATCCCAGAATTCGTATACAGTCTCAGTTACTCAAAATTTCACAGTGGTCATAATATTGATCACGACCTTCACAAACGTGACACCTGAATTGTGTAATGCCTGTGTATATAAGTAGATCGTGACCATGTTTGAAACAAAACAAATAGTTTAATAGATTTGTGCTGTTAACTTCCTAGAACCCTCAACCTAGGAATGGAATCATAAAGGATATTTTATAACTTACACAAGTTACGCGAAATAAAATGAATTTAACACTTTTCGTCTCAAAATCTCCAAGGGCGTTTGGAATTAAGATTTTTAATGAAGTGTTAATTATTCTGTTCACATTATTCGCGCTAATCTTGTATGCCTGTAGTTGAAGTAATAGTTTTTGAGTTTATGTGTATGAATTATTACACGTCGTTAGACGGAAACAGTATAAGAGTGTTGGTGATTGAGAACATGAGAAAAATTTAAATGCTTAGCCCGCGTTTTGTATAGTTCATGAAAAATGATATTTCCCGAGAACGATATTGTTCAATAGGCATAAAAAGTGATGAGCTACGAAAGTAGCCACTTCGATTGGACTATCTATACTGGTTTAAGTAATTCTGTACCATATTTACAGAATGCCCAGCACAATATATTTTAATAGAGACTGAGACATTTCGGTCTCTGACTATAAGCTTAGAAAACTGAACACGTTTTCTTGTTGTTGTTGTTGTTGTTAAGCTTATAAGTCGTTTCATGAAGCCGGTGTTCCTCATTAGTACTTTTATTGATCTGGATGCTGTGCATTCAAATTGGCTGTGTTAGTGCAATTCTGTTTTATAGGGCTTTAGTCTCCTCTTATAGTCTGTGGACCAGTATGTACAGATCTCATCCACCGACAAAGATACTTTCTTTGGCTCGTGGCTTCACTGGCTGTTTTCAGACTCGTAGTCTGTAATTACTGTGACAATGTAAGACTTGTTTATATGATTCGAGACGTGTAAATATATTTTTTAAAAATTAGCATCCGATTTTACGTGAATGGTGTATTTCTGAAACAAAGATCAAAATATAGGAAGTTTTAGATTTGCTGCAGTTTGTTGAATAAAAGTGAGGTGTCCGTGCATTCTTTACGTGGACGGAAAGATTCGAAATTTGTTGAGGGATTTGCGTCTGTCCATCCAAATTTGATCCATCATTTATGCTGTCCGTTGACAAATTTTAATAAAATTTCGTGTTAAAAACTATTATTTAAATATAAGACTAAAAATTTAGTATAAATTCTGATCTATATGATCTATGTCATATTAGAAAACTTAAAAATGTGTTCTTTTTATCTCGATAGATGTTGTCAAAAGTTTGTTTTCTGTAATTTTTAGTTTTAATACCTGTGCACTGACATCATTTCTACGTTGAAAGTGGAGGCGATGCATCTCTCGGAAACGTTTTTAACCACCTATACGACTACACGATATTATAACTCAGCATACCACAATCCACAATTCTGTCACCTTAAAATTTTAGTTATCAAAATACTGTTGTTAGCAAGCATTAATTTTTAAATAAAATAATTCCAAGTCTTTGTTTAAACCTACAAGTACTTTGCTAATTACACGCTAATTCCTTCCATTTACCAAAATTTCCTGCTGGATCCTTCATTCAGACATTCTCAACTGATATACCAGGCCCGTATTGTGCATTATCTGCGACAGTTGTGACTGTTCAATCCGAAGACATTGTGTCTGTAAGCATATTAGTGTACATATCAAAATATCAGCATTCCCAGGCGCAGACTGAATCAGACCTAAATTCGCTAACATTTGAATTGGAATTCTGATAAGCAAGTTGGATAGCCGAGGATAAGGGAAACGCCTTCGTATCTCATTTGTTAATTCAATGATGTTGATTGCACATGTGAAACAATGATGGCAGACGTATGTATTCCTGTAGTAGTTAACCTGATACAGGAGTCTCAACACGTGTACTCAAACATTTTACTATGCAATTTATAATTTATTCATTATGTGTGTATGTTGTGGTATTCTTATGGTGCTCCCAACATCAGGTAAATGCTAGATCAGGGATAACCAAAATGTTCACTCAGTTATATGGTCACACAACTCATTTAGGATTCCTTACCTTATGTTATACTTCTGTCATCCTGTATATAGAGCGTTTAGTCTTTCACATCTTTATGCAATAGAGTGTACAAACTCTACCAGAGAGAGAATGAGATGTATGGAAGCTGATTTGAGACTGTTTGTGTGCTGAAGTGATCAGATTTCGAACTCGGAATCTGGTGGAAGGACTTGCCTATTAACTTTGTGTTTGCTTCTATGGTTGTGTCGTTTATATTGTTACAGACTGAACAGTTCACGGTCCTGTGGATCCTGTTTGCACTCATCGTCCTGGGGAACTCGGCCGTTCTGGTTGCACTTCTCGTTAACAAAAGAAGGAAATCTCGGATGAACTTCTTCATCATGCAGCTGGCATTAGCAGGTTAGATAACATGTAAACATTCCTTTGTAATACCACAAGGACTACAACGTTTTCATTTCTCCGCTTACGGTAACATATATGTTGTAATAATAAAGTGATGATATTTTTTTGTTTCATATTTGTTGACCTACAATGCAGTCTATTAGGAAACCTTGGGATTATTTTCATGAATTCTAAATTTGATTTCATTATCGCAAAATTAATTAAAGAAACATAGATGGCTTAAGTTCTAAATTCCCACAATCAGAAATAATAACGCGATGAAAATTTAATACCCGTCTCATCAAATTTAATAAAATTGAACAAGTTTTAAATTTTGTCCACCAAAATTCTGCATGTATTAAATTGATTGCTGGTTTAGGTGTCACTATATGAGACGAACACTTCAAACACTATTAGAGTGCAGGGTAGAGCCGTTAATGAAACGAAGAACGTGGTATATTAAAAGTGACATATCTACGAGGGCATTATCTCGTGAGCAGCCGATTGTAAGTTCTGAGGTTAGCTGGAAGTGGATTATATAGGCTCAGTTTCATTGCGGTAAGTTTCCAATACGTAATTCTTATACAGATTCGATAATAGGCTTATTAATGTTAGAATAATATGAACAAATTTTCCGCTTCTCTGTGCTTCTACCGTATTTGATCACCACGACGTGGAGCGTTGTCAGCTTGCGGAAGGAGGAGACAGTCTCGAGACATGTTGGTTAGTTTTGAATATATGAAATAATCATTTGCGGACAGCCGACAAAGTGTGGTCCTTAGAGCGAGAGATTGGTCTGAGGACCAAAACCCCACGACGTAAAGGAACCAACGAAAAACAGGCTTCCACATTTGTAATCGTATTAGCGTAAATATGCCTGTCAGTTCGTTAATCAGATATGGTATGAAAAATCCAATATTAAAACTAAATTTAGTGAGTTCTCTCACATTCTGTACATGAACACTAGAACGAGCCTTAGAAAGAACCATAATTCTTATTTTCCTACTCTTCTTTAATCTTCATTGCTATTATTCAGACCTAATTCCCATGCGGAATTAGTCTTCACCTTACTAGAATCAATAAGGCTTTTCCAGCGTTCCTCCGAGAAGTAAGGAAATGGGAGAGAAATGTGATGGAGCTGATTCTACTAACACTGACGATCGGATTTCAGAAAGCGTCGTATAAAGTAAATTGCAAAGCATCTGTTTAAAAAGAGCCTCAACATGGATTTCTCTTCTTTGAGTCCATGATTTTAAAACTACTCATGTAAAAGAAGCGACTTTTTTTCCTGAAACAGTTAAAGTTGATATCAGTAGTAAAGGGATTTGTATATTTCTTAGTATACGCCATTGGCTCACTTCCGTGTCTCATAAAAGGTAGGATAATACGTTGTGGTGTTACCTTATTTCCGAGGCAGTGGATTAGCTGAAACGATGTGCACACTTTATTTCTTAGCCGGGGCCCTGTTGTCTCCTGACTGAGGATTTCAATGCCCTACTTCAGTGCCTACAGGCGAATTCCTTTATAGTACCTTGAAACAGATGAAGGCTGAATCGTAGCCAACCCTTTTAAATTCACCCTATGTAATGTTACATCTCATATTCGACGCAGTTTTTGTAACAAGCCTTTTACAGTATAGTAGTACTTCCAAATTTCTTCTTCTAAGCAGTTACAGGTTCAAACAAACGCTTATGAATCATAGTAAGAGGTCGTTATCCTTGTTTCTTATTGATATATCGAAGATTAAGCGATAAAAACACAAATAAACAATGAAACAAATAATTATATGTTAAAGAACGTTAATAATAGAGCAGACAGTATCATATATGCCTTCTGACATTACATACTACATAAATTTTGTAAGTTTCTATAGTGGCGTAATCTGTACATTTTATTTTAAGTGGGGGATATCTCATGACCATGCCTTCAGGCTACGCCGCGCGTATTTGTCACTGTCTTTAAGTGACAGGGCGGCGCCCTGACACT